AGATCTATGCATAAAGATTCAGAGGGACAGGACATCTCTACAAGATTGTATGACAAGAGGAATGACGTCAACTTTCCAATAGTCCATCTTCCCTTCATGTCGAGCAGCATTCCATCCGCTCCAGCCTTTGGTGAGGACATTTAACAACTTTATAGGTACAATCGAACATGCTCTTTCTGTAAAAATATGTTCCCATGATTTTTCAGCTGAATAATTGACTTCCCTGTGCATGTGTTTGTGATTGATGCCACCGGTGTGGCAGGATACGTTCACCTGGAATCATCACTGTCAATAGCGATTAATGAACACATCCTTATGATTAATTCGGAATAGTAATGGACTCTGCATTTAGTCTACGGATTTCGTATGGTTATGGAAGCTCTGTCGCTTAAATGTACTTGAAGGGACACAAACTGGAGGATTGGTGCAACAAAATAAAACATGTATGACACAATTAGAGTAAGGAGGTTGACGTGGTCAATCATGAAGACTCCAGGAATCTTAAATCCCTACCGCTGGGTCATCTATTGGCTGTTCTGGAACTCTCTACCTATAACGTATCTCGAAGAAAAAACATATTCATATTACTCCACACGAAAACCCTTTCTCGCTTACTTCTTATTCGAGAAGGTTAAGCTAATTTTCCCTCTAATCCTTTATATCTACAGACTTTCTGTACAGTGGATATCTATTGGACACGCCACAAACGTACCAATGCTTTAGAAACTTGATGGCATGCAGGTCGTAAGGTTTCTAAGCGTTGATTCATTTATCACTCCAAGTGAGCGGTCTTGAAAATAATATAAGCCATAGATTGCGGGTTCGTTGACGTGACTTTCCATATCACTGTTTGTGTGTAAAATATACTGAATCGATGAAAGTGCGAAGAATTAGCAACTCATTTTTTTCAACTGAAGTATCTTCCTGCTTCACAAATGTGTATGATTTCTGAGACAACATGTCTTTGCAATATTTGCAAAGTGCTAAATGGGTTGTTTCTGTTGGAATCAATGCTGTACTGCTCAACCAATAAATCATCGAGCGACATGCACGCCGATAAATGTCTGTACCTGAATTATTGACTGGTTGTTTACTTGCGCTGCGTCGATCCCACCGTGTTACCTAATGGCGCATTCATTACTACGACAAGGCTGCTGGCACGGACTGATTGGGCAATGACTGCAATGCTTGCTGGGACGTTCGGATAGCTTACTTGTTAAAGTTTTCGTTGAACATGGCGAATTCCAGAGTTCGATTCTCAACATTGTAATTCAAACGTTAACAGCGTTAAACGGTCTCCACCCGTTGGGATTCAGGGTTAGAATAGGTCACAAACAACCTGTTCTGGTCGCATTGGAGAGAGAGAGAGAGAGAGAGAGAGAGAGATAGAGAGAGAGAGAGAGAGAGAGAGACAGAGAGAGAGAGAGAGAGAGAGAGAGAGAGAGAGAGGGAGGGGTACCCCGACATCGTGGCAGGTGGCTCACGATCACAAGATTGTTTGGGCCAGACTTGATTATTTACAGCCGTCTCATTGTTCGGATATTGCTGATCCCATGAGTGCGGTGCGATGTTGAACAAATATCCCCAAATGTTACACGCCTCCCATCCCTGCATGTCCTTACTTGTTTCGGGACAAAACTCCTCAGTATCATTCCTAAGGGTAAAGTGTGTCTGATATGGGAATTAATGTCATAAGGCATTAGGGGTGACAGCTGTTTGGTTCGCCACGCCGAACACCCGATTTCGATTGCCCACATGGCTGTAATACCTGCATGTGAAGCCAAGTCTTTTGTGCTCCTCGGTGATATAACTGGACTACTGGTACATGCGGTCCCGTTACTGTTGGCTGGAGCTGTGAGAGATGACTTCAAATGAGGTTTAATGTCGCGTACAAGATTATTGCACCAAAACAATGTGTGCGTACGCGCGGGTGTGCCAATGATTGCGAAACCCTGTCCCGAATTTAGTGCCGATAGAACAACTCTGATCAGCCTCTAACATTCTAGTTTTATAATGCTAGCCGCACATTAACACAGTATACTGACTCCGAGACGCGTTCAGTCCTTTGCCTTTGGTTTGGTTCTACCAGACCATTTTCAGTGACCTGGCGTCGGTTATCCGATGGATTACATACAGTTGACATTGTAACAACAGGGGACCAATGCAAAACCCAAACTAGGAGTTTAATCCAGCTGAAAGTTTAAAATGAGCAAATTGAAAAGCAATTTAGATCTTCAGTGGTTTAAAATTATTTTGTTCTCTTATGGCAATGGTTTAATGGTGTATGTTTTTCAAGACTAGACGTGGGTCCTTTTACTTTTCAGATGTTATTATATTTGTTATTTATGAAAGAAACACATTGGTAGTATCTTCTGCAAATGACACTGAGAACTCTGGCGTTGTGATAGATGTAGGTGATTAAGGTCTTTTGCCGGACCCCGATTCAGCGAAGAACTACGTCCACGCAACAAACAGAGATACTTGAATTTTCTGTTCTTATTAACATTATTTGCTTAAGCCATGAGTTGGGGCTTATGCCTCTTTGAGCTTTAAGTAAGGACATGGATGCCTTAGTGTGCGTTTGAAATCCCACATATCCGTCTTTCAAACAGATTTAGTGGGATATTATTCGGCGTTTCAACCACAGAAAAACGGGCTTCTCTAATTCAGTTCTCGTTTACATAACCGACAAAGCTTAAAAATCGTCCATTTGAAAACACCTTGAGCAATTACCGGAACGTAACGATTTACCGGAACGACGTTAAAAACAACGTCAGCTAGCGTTGGTTAATTTGAGCAGCTCGGTTAGATCTGAAGTAGCAAATTAAACCAATTTCGTCGACCCCGAAATAATGCCAAGTGCAATAATCCATTAGTCTGAGAAACTGAACTGCTTGCTCCTCTAATCTATAGCTCTCGTAAGTGGCAGCCTAGCACTCATCAAGTGATACTATTGGAAGATGCCTGGGTGAAACTGTACCAAGACCCATGCCTAAGTAGAGCAGGCTCGGACAGTGTATTGCAGCTCAATATTAAGGTTATATACGCATTGTCCAGAAGCGTTATTAACGTCTGTAGATTCCTAACTGAGATTATGTCTGGGGTCGTAATTTTATCAATGACATATTTTTCGGACCGTTTCTACACAAAACACGATTCCAGTGGTTGAAATTTTCTTCTGACGAAGCATCAATGTATGAATGACTTATTAATTTCGCTAGGGCACAGACGTAGGAAATAATGATATGGTATTGATGGCGCTATCTCTTGGGCATAAAGTGCAGCTTACACGTCTGACTGAATGTGATATATTGATAAGCACGCTTTTAAAGTCTAAAACATGCCAAAATGGTTTATGAGGATTTTAACAAGAAATGTTATTGAACTTTATGGATTTGAAATGCGAGTGCGTGCACGTTTGAGTTTATGAAATGTTTGGTTTTGATAATCGCGTCATATATTTTTTTAAAGGGAATATAGTGGTACACTTTGGGTATTAAAGACGGATTTCTAACACCGGCAGAATCTCACAAGTTTTCGTCTGGTGTCCCCCGCCGTGATATTGCTGAAATCCAAACTCACTCACAAGTTTTCGGGGGCAGTTGGTACAACAGAACTGCCACAAGATCTGCCGTCCAGTCCATTTTTCCGGTGCCAACAGCGATCTGCGTCATTGTGTTTCCCGAACATGTGATGTCATCACTGTAACCATGCAACTGTTCTTCTCTTGGGAAAGGGGGCGGTCGGGTAGCCTAGTGGTTAAAGCGTTTGCTCGTCATGACGAAGACCCGGATTCGATTCCCGACAGGGGTACAATGTGTGAAGCCCATTTCTGGTGTCCCCCGCCGTGATATTGCTGGGGTATTGCTAAAAGCGGCGTAAAACCATACTCACACTCTCACTCAGAGATCCTTGTTCCCTATGGTAAATGTCAGTGTATCTGGCACACCACGGTATTAGCTTTTCAAGTCGCATTCCACTATAATGTCACTTCCCGGCCCTCCTCATCAATGTGTTTGTTACGGATACGCGACCTTCAATTTAATTCATATTAAGCCCTGGTGATCCTTTCAAATTGTTGCCCAAATATAATAACTGGAAACAGTTAGTCATTTCAATTGATTCTCTCGTTTTTAGTTGGTCAGTCGCTGTGCACAACACCACCACCACCACCAACAACTACGTTTTAGACATTCTGGAGACATCCATGCAAAGTATTCCGGTGATAGATAAAAGTGACAAAAACCTTTCCATAATGAATAAAATCGTTTTCCAATCCCAATGTCCACTATCCGATTCCGACTCTATCATAAGCATGTGTTATTGAACCACTATAAAATAGTGATGGTATCAAGTGTTCTCCATGAGGCCTATCAGAAGCAAGACAATGAACCTAAACTGTTTGAAGCTGCGAAACCAAACACATTGATCAAGCAATAAGATTATGTACGCTGTATTTCTTTTCCAGCATCAATTTGTAACAAAGGAGGTGCCACACCCCCGTGGAGTTTGCAACCTCAAGTGATGGAACTGAAAACTCTGAGTTCAGTGTGAATTAATGCACTTTCTAGTTTCAGGGTATGTCAGTTAAAAAACTACCTACATGTACATGTATTCGTGGGGACGGTCGGGTAGCCTACTGGTTAAGCGTTTGCTCGTCACGACGAAGACCCAGGTTCGATACCCGACATGGGTACAATGTGTGAAGTCCATTTCAGGTGTTCCCCGCCGTGATATTGCTGGAATATTGCTAAAAGAGGCGTAAAACCAAACTCACTCACTCACACGTATTCGTGGCACGAACGAACAAGTCGAAGACGAAGAAAGGAAATTGCAGGCACCGCGACAAATACAAGGTTGCCCCTGACAGCACGTGACGAGTACAGTGACCGGCACGTGCAGGCAGTAGATGCGGCTGATTAAACCGAGAATCAGAGACGGCAACAAGTCACAGAGCTACGTCCGTAGCCATCTATTGACTGACTACACAATACTGTAGACCCTGATGTAGCCAAGTCCAAACATCTCTGTAACACTTTCCAACTTCCCAACAGGCTACTCGATGGCACCAAACTGTGGAAGACATGGAGGAGCAGCCCTCCTGTTCTTACAATGGCCTCTAATTGGCAGTAAAACCCACTAATTAATTCTCTGACCACATAAACATTCTAACAACCCTCCAAAGCGCTTCATGCGACGATTTCCGAGCCTCTTCATACTACAGAGGACTTTATCGATCTTCTACCAGTCGAAGGAAAGGTTCGCTTGCATTGCCAGTGTTCCCATACAAGTCATCGAAAATGTGACGAGCCCTTTCACGGGAATAAATGAACTTTCTGCTGCCCCTACCTTCTATTGAAGTTAGACCGGGAATGGTTCTGTACTTCTGGTTGTGGTGAGCAAGGTAATGCTTCACGCTCAAGGGACATCTTTTAAGGAATGGACGGCCTTCTCAGACATTTAACAGTGAGTAATGTTTTGTTACAGTAGATTGTTACAACTTTACTTTAATCTCTGGGATTTTACGAGTCTTAGGGTTCACATGTTGCATGTGAATGCCTCAAGCTTAATAGACCATGTTTACAGTTTATCCGAATTTGTTCTGTTTATTGGTTTACTGTCTAATATTGTTCCATGTAATATAGACATTTGATGCTGTGGTATATAAATTTAGTTAGGTTGTCTTGAATGATGCCGATATGATCCCTGACAAATTCACTCATTTTCCACTCTTGTAAGTGGAATGAATTATGAACCATCTGCGATAAACAGAAACGGGATATTAGGAGACATATGGGTTGGAGGGTGGTTATTATGCCATAAATATTGAACTAACGATCGGATGCGATGAAAAATATTTCCTTTGGTCCAGTTAATCGATTTAGATTCCCTTTAGCCCGTCAAATACGAAGTCATGCGCTACAATCTGTCTTGAAATGAAGCATGTTCAATCTTCTCTTCACTCGGTATTTCCCTGATCATCGACTTCAGAGACACTGTGTAAATTTGAAAGAGTTATCATGTCAGCGTTGTTCGCTGACAATTTCCCCTTCCTGGAGTGTCAAGAATCAGTTTCGATATTTATTTTTACGCCCTGCGAGAAAATGATTTTTTGTGCTTTGAGAAATTTGACTGTCTGCAGTGTATGATATATTGATAAATAATTGTTGAAAGGGCTTGCGAAAGTAGTGCCTGAACTTATGTGATATAAATGAATACGCAGTAGATTTAAGGAAAATATTTTAAATAAGCTTTGTTCACGTGTTTTCATATAGGTTATGTATCCGACGAACGTATGTCAGTGTAACTATATCAGTGATAGGCAGAACAAGTATTATTTATATATACAGCATGCGTCTATAGGGCAAACGTTTATAGAATTGTGTCGAAAATATGTGGTTCACAGCATGTATGTTTACGCTTACTGAAAATAAAACATTCAGTCTGCCGAAACAAATTCCATTGGGCCTGACAGGCAAAATAGTGATGAGAATTATATTTATGGATCACTGAAAATAAGTGTTGATACCAGGTGTTTGCGAATGAGGTAAGCAGGTCCTGCTCTACCGGTAGCACCAGCTACAGTAACTCAAACAATTTGCATAAAAATGTACATGTAAAAGTTTGTTCGTTGCTTTATGCCGCATTTGGTTGTCCTGCCATACGAAGGCGGCGTGAAAAATATCGAGTCTGGACCAGACAATCCAGTGACACGATAGCGCGTTAACTGATTTTGTTGAAACTGAAAACGATAATTTTATTTTGAATTCTTCTGTTGTGTACAAAGTGCAGAAATTCTGCTTCTTACAATTAAAGAGAAACACTTAAGAAATATGTTCGTTTTGCTACAGCAGTGTTAATGTGTTGGCACACACATTTTATTTGTAATGCCACATTGCCATAAATGTAAAACGCAAATGCCAGAGAATAACCAGTCTCAAAACAGATTCCACTGGGAGTAAAAAGCAAGTAGCGGTAAAAAGTATATAAAAGGTTGACAGGAACTCAGTGATGACTCTTAGTGCTTGAGACAGGAACACCATGCTTCATAGAAGTGTGACTGGGTGTACGGATATACTGGTTATACTGGTTAGCTTGTATGTGTAATGTAAAAGTATATAAATGGTTGACTGGAACTCAGTGATGACTCCCAGTGCTTGAGACAGGAACATCATGCTTCATAGAAGTGTGACTGGGTGTTAGGATGTACTGGTTAGCTGGTATGTGTAATGTAAAAGTATATAAATGGTTGACAGGAACTCAGTGATGACTCCCAGTGCTTGAGACAGGAACACCATGCTTCATAGAAGTGTGACTGGGTGTACGGATATACTGTTAGGTGGTATGTGTAATGTAAAAGTAAATCAATGAATTACAGGAACTCACTGATGACTCCCAGTGCTTGAGACAGGAACACCATGCTTCATAGAAGTGTGACTGGGTGTACGGATATACTGGTTAGCTGGTATGTGTAATGTAAAAGTATATAAATGGTTGACAGGAACTCAGTGATGACTCCCAGTGCTTGAGACAGGAACACCATGCTTCATAGAAGTGTGACTGGGTGTACGGATATACTGGTTAGTTGGTATGTGTAATGTAAAAGTATATATTAATGGTTGACAGGAACTCAGTGATGACTCCCAGTGCTTGAGACAGGAACACCATGCTTCATAGAAGTGTGTCTGGGTGTACGGATATACTGGTTATACTGGTTAGGTGGTATGTGTAATGTAAAAGTATATCAATGAATTACAGGAACTCAGTGATGACTCCCAGTGCTTGAGACAGGAACACCATGCTTCATAGAAGTGTGACTGGGTGTACGGATGTACTGTTTAGCTGGTATGTGTAATGTGAAAGTATATAAATGGTTGACAGGAACTCAGTGATGACTCCCAGTGCTTGAGACAGGAACACCATGCTTCATAGAAGTGTGACTTGGTGTACGGATATACTGGTTAGCTGGTATGTGTAATGTGAAAGTATATAAATGGTTGACTGGAACTCAGTGATGAGTCCCAGTGCTTGAGACAGGAACACCATGCTTCATAGAAGTGTGACTGGGTGTTAGGATGTACTGGTTAGCTGGTATGTGTAATGTGAAAGTATATAAATGGTTGACAGGAACTCAGTGATGAGTCCCAGTGCTTGAGACAGGAACATCATGCTTCATAGAAGTGTGACTGGGTGTACGGATATACTGGTTAGCTGGTATGTGTAATGTAAAAGTATATAAATGGTTGACAGGAACTCAGTGATGAGTCCCAGTGCTTGAGACAGGAACACCATGCTTCATAGAAGTGTGACTGGGTGTTAGGATGTACTGGTTAGCTGGTATGTGTAATGTGAAAGTATATAAATGGTTGACAGGAACTCAGTGATGAGTCCCAGTGCTTGAGACAGGAACACCATGCTTCATAGAAGTGTGACTTGGTGTACGGATATACTGGTTATACTGGTTAGCTGGTATGTGTAATTGCTACATTTTCGCACAACCTAATGTACTGATGGAACGATTCCTTGGGGGTGTAAGGTTGTTCACCAAGAGATAACAAGCCAAACTAAGGACATGATTCATTTGTAGTTATAGCCATTCAGTGCATGATTGAACAATTCCCTACAGCAAACAAGCAAATGCTACTGATGAGTGTGTGATGGGCACTGCTATTTGTCGTCAACAATTTACATACACGACCTAATTCATAGCGTGTCAGTTTTGTTTTGTCACTATAATCGTGATACATTCATTTATTGTAGAAAGCGAAACCCCGCTAATCAAGACTGTAACATCTCCAATGAAATTGTCCGCTTTAACTGTCCAGGTTAACGAATAAAGGATGCTAAGTAATTTCCCTCAATAAAGTTCCAAACAGTCCTTAACGTTTGCCAGTGTAACAGATTTCACTGTACTATGGTGTTCTGGAATCCCAGTCCTGAAAAAGACACTTGTGGATTGTTTCAACTCATGTGCCTCTGTATCCCTGTTTATAAACCTACTGCCACTTTTGCCTATTGTATTGTAGATATCTTCCTATCTCATAGTACTACTTTCATGTGAGACAAGCACAAAGGTTTTTACCTTTACATTAAAGGCCTGCTGGGATGTTTTACATTTGAATTGTAAGGCCTGCTGGGAGGATTTACATTTGAGTTGTAAGGCCTGCATGGAGGATTTACATTTGAATTGTAAGGCCTGCTGGGAGGTTTTACATTTGAGTTGTAAGGCCTGCTTGGAGGTTTTACATTTGAATTGTAAGACCTGCTTGGAGGTTTTACATTTGAATTGTAAGTTCCTGCTGGGAGGTTTCACTCTGAGTTGTAAGGCCTGCTGGGGGGTTTTATATTTGAGTTGTAAGGCCTGCTTGGAGGTTTTACATTTGAATTGTAAGACCTGCTTGGAGGTTTTACATTTGAATTGTAAGTTCCTGCTGGGAGGTTTCACTCTGAGTTGTAAGGCCTGCTGGGAGGTTTTACATTTGAGTTGTAAGGCCTGCTTGGAGGTTTTACATTTGAATTGTAAGACCTGCTGTGTGGTTTTACATTTGAGTTGTAAGACCTGCTGGGAGGTTTTCCATTGAGTTGTGAGGCCTGTTGGGAGGTTTTACATTTGAGTTGTAAGGCCTCCTGGGAGGTTTTATAGCTGCATTGTACATCTCGGTTTTAAAGTTGAATCTTATAAACTTTTTTTTAATATCAATCTTATGTTTCTTTTTGATTTGTTAAAAGTCACATTTTCAAAAAATTTCAAATTCAAAATTCCATGACGTGAATCCAACATGCATGCTCACTTTCCGTGTTCAGTGCGGTTTTCACTGACCCACCGGAGCAGGTTGTGAAAGAGTGTTCAATTTAACATGAATTCAGCTGTGTGCATGCTGTAGGTGATCTTTCTCTCGCACGCTTTCATCGAATCGGTTTTTTTAACACTACATACTGGTTTGTATTGTTTCACTATAAGGTATATCGATGTTTCCTTATTCGTTCTAGTATTTCTTGCGCGGTTTACATATTTTACCAAAACCGAAGTGGACTGTTTCATCCTAAACAAGCTTCCCGCATGTAGATATTATAGCTCTAGGCCCTGTTCCACGTAGCATTCTCGGCGCTACGACTGTCGTAAGTCTATGTTAGAGTATGGGAGTTACTTTCCTCCTTGTTCTACTGTCACCATATGGAACAAGGCCTTGGTTGCCGTTGCACAAAGCAAGGGCGTTAACTGACTATGAAACTTGGCTGGAAATTCCCGGGTCGATTGTAGCGCCACCAGTAGCTACTCCGAGTTATGTCCCTTCCATGTCCCTCCTGTTGACCAATCAGATTCCATCTCTCATCTCACTTGCATTTGCTTAAAAAAATGGCAGCGCCCAGTCAAGACGATCTGATCGATAATCAATATGTATATTGTAATAAAACGGGTCTCACCCCGCAAATCGCATGAAATCACTTGAGCACCTTAATTGAAA